ACACCCACACCCACACCCACACCCACACCCACACCCACACCCACACCTACACCGACATCCAAACGCACATCCAAACGGACACCCACACTAACCCACACCCAGTCCGGGTTCGGGAAAAAAATAGGGGTCTGGACAATCCCACCGTTCGCTAATGCTAACACTGCTCGATATTTCACACCAATAGTCTTTAAAACGGGTAGCTTTCTGTGTATTACATTTAAAACAGACGAGGATCAACAAGTATCATTCTATGTGAAGATAATTTTCATATTCACGTGTCAGCCGATATAATAGCAAAGTATTTGTCGTATGTAAAGGGAAGTCTAATACAATCTCGTGTGTATGCCACTATGAGAGTGGTTGATCGAAACTAGACGACTTATGACCAGCTATTGACGTAAAATAATCAAAAAACACACCGTTTTATGTCTTGAAGAGAACAGAAGTTCTATCGGATAGTCGCAATTCTTGCTGGTGTGGATGTGGATGAAGATAAACTAAACATATCCCGACTCACACCCTCAGTTACACCCAGCTACACCCACACCGACAGCCACACCCTGTTGTAGAAATCAAAAATAGTGCTCCACGAAACCTTATTCGTTCTAAACCAAAAAAACGACTTCGAATTCGTTAAAAACAATAAAATCTGTTTTAGTTTCATTCAACCTCTTTTTTGTTTTCAATGAAGGCAGTTCTTTTGGCCCGTTCCTTCGAAATTGTAGCTGCGAACTGTCCTAGGTGTAGCACGGGCATTCCTAATTTATGCAAATAGCATAAACACACAACTTTGTAAAGCTGCATATAAGTCACGTTGACAAACACCCAAAACCCAAAGAGGTAAGCTCGCAAACACCCGCTTTATCGAGGTTATAAAAAAATGTATCGCTATCAAAGTTGAAAAAAAACACCTCCTGTAACACACAGCTCCAAAATCTCCCTTATAGCATGCATAAACCACTCCAGGTACTCTTGACAAACACCTACAGAATTTAACAATCTGCATTTTGACCCGAATATGTCCTATCCTAAAATGACTTTTTCCGATGAACTTCTCTCCAGAAACATAAGATGCAAACAATACAAAATTCGAGCGAAATTTTTTCTCAAGAAAATGCATTATTCAGCACTCTGAAAAAGAATCAAAACTATTCCTCGAGAAGTTTTCGAAAAAATATTGAAACTGATATATCCTTACTCAGCTCGATTGGTTCTATCCAACCATATGTGAAAAAGCAAGAAAAAAAATTTTTCACTCGAATTTTGCGTTGTTTGCACTTCATGTTTCTAGAGAGAAGTTCATCAGAAAAAGTCATTTGGGGATAGGACATATTCGGGTCAAAATGGAGATTGTTAAATTCTGTAGGTGTTTGTCAAGAGTACCTGGAGTAATTTATGCATGCTATAAGGGAGATTGAGGGTGTGGGGTATCGGTGTGGTTGTAGATGGGAGTCGGTGATGGTGTGGGTGCGTCGTCTCATATATCATTGACCACAACACCCACATACTCCCAACAATTTATAGAAGATGAAGGTACATGTACGCGTGTGGATGTGTGTAAATTTCCTTGTTCCATATCCGCAGTCACCCTCACATACATGTACCAACACGTTGAAGTTGCAAAGATGAAAGATCAATATATTTTATTCGAAGCCCAGTCCATAGTCACCCCGCAAGAAGCACTTGAAGAATCCTGGTTTTCTAGCTCATACACTGACTGTATTTGGAAGATGTGAAAGGCTTTTGCCCAGCACTGTGTGACTGTCAATAAGTTTGGTCATATGGTATTAGTCAAATGGTTTCGCTATGTAATAATGTTCTCAGCTGCATGTATTATGATGTTGATATTCACAATTGAATCTAGTCAATTCTTTTCAGACAGTTTTTATTATAACAATGTATCACTCGATAAAGGGATATTGCGAAAGAACAAAACTTCATTAAACACAGTCTTACTACATGACTGTCCGAAATTATGTTTTGATCCATTTCATGAATGCTCTAAGGACACAGTATTCAATGAACAACTTTTTAATAAGCAATTGTTATCCAATGACTATGCCTTGAGTTTGGAGCGAAGAGCTAGTTGTAATCTACAAACACCAAATAATTGCTTTGGTACGAATAAAAGTTTGGTTATCTCATTTTGGAGTCAAGAATCTAAAGAACGGTGGTTGATTTTGAATTTTGTTTCAGTCTTTCCTGAAAAATATTTTGATTATATAGTTATGATTTACGATAATTCTACCTGGACTCATCATCCAGCGTACAATAAGATAATATGGATTCACGTGCAGCATCAGCTTCGGTTTTGGTATATTAAACGATTCATCTCTCCTTATATTTTTCGAGCTTATCGCTATGTATGGGTTGTTGATGATGATGCTCGATTTAATTTTAATACAAGGGTGTATGAATGTATTGCAGATACATATGATATCCCATTATCTGCTCCTGCCAGAGGAGCGGGAGTTATAATTCATAATATTACACGCGTGTCTTCCAAATATAGTGCTCGAATAGGCCGATGGACAGATTTTGTTGAAATAGGTCCAATGTTTATAGCCAAAGCGTCCGCCTGGATTTGTTTATGGGACTCTTTAAGTGAGAAAGTAGGTTTAGGATACGGTCTCGACAATATATGGTGTCGAATTCTAGGTAGATGCTTCCGACGAACTTCCGTTTCGAGGATATGTGCTATCCTGGATGTATTCGTTTTGCATCACGACTCAACAAAAATTAATACCGGACACATTGGAGGAACAGAAATGCCCGCGTACAAAAAGTATTACAAGAGCCACTGGTCAAAAATGATTGTATATGGAGCCGTAGCGAATAAATCAAACGACCCACACTTATGCACATTACAACAGCTGTGATAAAGTTACCACAACGCGTTTCGATAGTTACTCATTCTATCGTTTCATGAGGTAGTTCATAACTAATCTGATGATTCTCACGAAAAGAACCAAATCTTAGGGTGTGTGAATTAAGAGTACAATCTTGAGGGTGTGGGTGTGTTAATATAAATAAGTAATGAGATTCAAAGCATCATACGACGCGTTTCGACAGTTGCTTAGGCTGTCATCATCAGGTATGTTTTGAATCTATAATTACGTGGGTGATAGAGTTACCACAACGCGTTTCGATAGTTACTCAATCTATCGTTTCATCAGGTAGTTTATAACTAATTTGATGATTCTTACGAAAAGAACCAAATCTTAGTTAATTACTATTTTATCCGAAGATAATTGTAATATCATTGATTGTTCGTGTGATAGAGTTACCACAACGCGTTTCGATTAAAGTTTCTAAGTAATGGTTGATGATGTTGGAACGTATTTGTTGTTGAAGTTGTGGATTGTGATTATGATGGCTGGATTGTTGTTGTGGTGAACGTGTTGAGACGAGTGTAGTAGATAATTTGTTTTTGGTCTGAAATTGAAAGAAGAAGGATTGTTGTATGTGATGTGTTAATTGTGTTATTGTAGTTGGTGTTGTATATTTTTTTAGTTTAATTAGAATTTATTGTTAGTTCAAAAAGAAGTTGAAAGTTTGAAATCTTTAGTTGTTAGTGAGGATATGAGATTTATTATAGTTATGTTTGAAAGGAGATCGTATTATGCTAACGTGAAGTTATAGAAGAAGAAAAGGGTACACATAATGTTGAAAGTAGGGAATAAAATGATGTAGATAAATGTTTTGAGTTGTTTATATAAAGGATAAATTGCTGTGAAAGTTATTTGATTTTGTTCGTGTCAGGCAAAGTTAGGTAAGATTTATCTGGACGTTTGTTGATGAGAAGATCATTGAGTGGTAGTTGAATTAATGGTCTTTGTGATATGTTAATGTAGAAATTTTTCATTTTTGGATGATCTGCAAAGTTATCTTTCAAGACTTTGTTCAATTCTTTTCGGAAATCTGCGATAACAGCATTGTCCCAATGAGGTGTATAAGGAAGATGTAATATTATGTGTGATTGCAGTGATTGTTGTTCGCGTCGTAGGGTTCGAGATCGTTCATATTGAAAAACGTTTTGACGTATTGTTTGTTGACCATATCGATTGGATCTTGGATATATCATATTTCTTGAAAATTTGGCGATGAATTCGTTGTAGATATCTTCGAAAATAATTTCGGGAAAGCCATGAGTTTCAAGTTTAAATTTAATGTGAAGTTTTTCTTCATCGAAAGCATCATCATCGGAAGAATACTGGATGGCTCTCATAAGAGCTCGTCGTACCCATTTCATTGTATTTTGTTTGATTGGAAGTTGAAGAACGTCACGTAACCATGGGTACACGAATAATATATCATTTTGACTTGCTATTTCATGATAAACACTAGTATATAGAATACCTCGCTCTTGACTTAGTTCGATATCACGAAAATGAATTTTCGTTCCAATTTCAGTTGTAGACCACATCATCTGTGGATATTGTGAATTAATGGAAGTGAGTAATAAATGAAGCTGATCTGCAGATTGATTCCATGTAATGAAAGCTTCATCTTGATATCTATATATGTTTTTTGTAGAAAAAGAAATTGAATCATATAATTCTTTTATATAAGTTATTCATCGATAGAAAGTAAATTACCTGCCAAATATTTCATTCTTATTAATGAAATTACTCAGTAAATCTTGTCTCCAATAAAATAAATAGATATAGACCAAAGGAATAGTTAATGCAGAACCTGAAGCACCACCCGCAATTTGTCGATATAGTTTAAACCGATAAATAAAAAATTGATTATGGAGAACAAGACGTACCAGTTGAATTATTGTATCTATAGTCATACCATGTACTAAATAATCTGACGCATAATCATTAAGGAAACGTTCTAATGCTATGATAACTTGTTGATGAGAAAATGTTAAACATAATTCACGAATATTGAATGAAGCGAATAATGTAGTTGGAAGGAGATGACCACTTTTAGCATACAATTCCATTCTATGTATAACATCAATACTCTTGTGAAATGTTTTACAATGTAATTTATCATTGACAAGTAATCCAAGTAGATGACCAAGATAATTTGTTATACCCATCATTGGTCCATCGTTACATATCATAATTGGTTGAAGTGGTACACCTTCCTATATATATATAGGCATAATGAAAACAAGACTTCGATTTCTACAAAAAGATTAAAGATGAATAAAAAAGAGAGAATACATACCTTGTATGTATCTGGTACAAAATATAGATAATGCATTCGTACTATAGATCGATCAATAATCATTTTTATATATTGTGTTTCATTGATAGAGTTCAAACGAAACAACTTATTCAATGTTGTTTCTACACAATTAACCATGTTCAATAAACATTTTTGACTTGAATCTGGAAATGACCGACTAAGTTGATAGATAAATGAATAAATATCTGTTCGTGCCATGAATTGAGATGCTTTTTGTTGAAAATCGCTTGTTGAATAAATATGATATCCACCACCTTTGTACGCCGGTCGTAATAAAAGATTATTATTTTTTAAATAACGGCGAATTGATAATATTTCATGTTTGATACGACTGGCTTGCTGACGATCATATTGATTTGTCGCTATATTATCCATATCTCTGATGTAAAAAGGCATATCTGACCAGTCTATATCTCTACATTGTGATGATTCATGATGATGATGAAGAATTTCATTAGAATAATTATGATTAACGTCGTTCTCATTGTCCAAAACTAACCACTGGTCGTCGTCGTTGTCTTCGTCAGAATCAGGATTACTATGTTTATGAGATGGTTCAGTATCCCACCAAGGACGTTTGTTTTCTATTTCGTCTTCACTCGATGACATATTTTCTTCTCTAAAAGCATTTGTTGCAGTAGCCATGTAAAATAAATGAATTACGATGATATAAATGCAAATTGTAATTTATCTAGAATAAATATAACAGATAATGATAAGATTAAAGTACACAACTTAATATGATATATATGTAAACAAAACAAGAAAAAGAAACAAAAAGTATGTCAATAAATAGATAAGTGTAATTGAAACAAATAATTAAAGTTTTTAGTATTCTTTTGAAAACGAATAATTAAATAATTTGTTTGAGTATGATGTACCATTGATCAATTGTGTTTTGATGAATCTTCAACATCTGATTCTATTAATATTAAAAAAGAAAATAAATATTAGATTTTCAATAAAAATCTTTTATAAAGCCAAAGGTATAATCTTACTTTTAGTCGATGGTAATTTAATAAAAGAAGCGTATGGTCTAGTTCTTATTAATTCACATGCAAGATTGCGACTATTTCGATGTCCAATAATTAGTCGCATACTTTCTGCTTCAGTACCTTGAAAAACATCTGAATAAATCTTATGTATATCTCGTTTTATTGGTTCCAATCGTTTTTCATGTGTATAATGAAGAAATAAAGTTTTATCGAATTTATTAGGTTTATCAGTTTGTTTGATTCCTATATTATCGATTTGACGATTCATTTGAATTTCTTTTACAGATGATTGAGCAAATAGTTTCTTTCTTATGATTAAAAATTCGTTTTCATCATAAATCATTGGTATAAGAGAAGAATTGGAAAGATGTGAAGCGAAGAATTTTTGAAAATGTTGATCAATATATTTTGATGGATATCTAGAGAATATTTTTGAGAAATAGAAAAAAAATCTATTGATAAGAACACAATAAAATAATTGAAATCAAACACATACCCATTGTATAAGAGCATGAATCGAGTTCGACGATATTCTTTTTGAAAACTTTCCAATGTAGAAGAATAACGTATTGCTCGAAGAAGAATAACTTGAATAATATTATCAAAAGTATGACGAGTATGATCAGAATTAAATGGTATAATACATGGTTCTGCAGCTAATTTATGATAGACAGAAGATACAAGATTTCCATTTCGGTTAGTAATTAAAAGATCAAGAAATGAAACACTATGACCAATAGTTGCTTCTAATTTAATATTAGGATGAAAATCATTCGCATCTTTTAATATACCTTCAATTGTTTCTTTAGATTCATTTGAAGTAAAGAACACATCATCAATATATCTATCATTATGTTATAGGAAAGAAAAATAATTTTTTTTGAACGATAATATATCAAACAAAAACTTACCGTCCATAGATCTCATTAGGTTTTAATTTTTTACATATGATATCATTTTCCCATTGCCACATAAAAATATTTGCTAATGTTAAAGTAAACGGTGATCCCATAGCTCCACCAACAATCTGTTTATAATATTTATTTTCATAAAAAAATGCTGTTTCTTTTAAAACAGTTTCAGCCAATTGTCGAATAACTTTAATTGATATACCTTGTAAGTCTTTTTCTAAAGTATAGTGATGAAGAAATTTTTCAAGACTATCTAAGGATTCATTTTGTGGTAACATTGTATATAAATTAGTAATATCAAAAGTACAAAAAAGAGTTGTTGATTGAAGATAACCATTTCCATCATATTGTTCTAATTGACGAAGAAGACTATTACCATCAACAATTGGTTTTGGTTGAGAATGTTTATTAAATAATGGTCGAATTAAATCATCTAAAAAATGAGATATACCTGTTGTTGCAGCATGAATTGTATTCATAATTGGTCGAAGTGTTATAGGATCCTAAATGAATTCAATAGAGATAGAGAGAGAGAGAGAATAGATAATAATAGAATATAGCACAAAAAGATTTAATGATTAATATACTAACTTTATGTGTTTTTGGATTAAAATACATGTGAGCTAATCTGACGTTTTTTCTTAAGGGCTTCATTTTTCCAAATTGTTTAGGTGATAAATCTTTGATTTTTGCATGAAGATCATTTATTAAACGAGTTACTCTCATTAAAATATCTTCCAATGGATTAGATGATAATTCTTCATAAGCACCTGTTTGTATACGATATTCTGTTGCTTTTTGTTCGAAAACACTTTTTTCACTAACATAAAGGTTTCCACTTTTATCACATTCACGAAGAATAAGTTTGTTTCGTTTTAATTTTCGTCGAATTGATTTAACAATTTCACGTTCTTGTGTAGCTCGAGCATGATCCTTATAAGGTATTGGTGTCATATAATGAAGAGTTAAACAAGTATGAAGACGTTCAGAAAATTGTTTGAAAAGAGGTGATGTGTATGGTATTGATCGACAAGATTTTGTAAGAAAATCTTTAGTTTTCTTAAGCATTTTGTCATGTTCTTTTTGAACTAATTCTTTACGTGCGGCATAGGGATGAAGAATCGTACGATTTGGTCGGATATAACTACCACCTAAAAATTACACAAAAGACAAATCAATTAATGATTGTTTTATAATAATAAAATTCTTTTTTTTTTGTTACCTCGACAAAGATATTCACATTCAACAGAATTCAGTTCTAGATGATCATGATGAACATCAAGAATAACTTCAGGTGAAACACCAATCATTTGTTTCGTTTTAGATGAATATTGATGACGACGACGTGTTAATTTTCTTTCAAAATAATTCATTTCTAAATAGATTTCTTGTTTTAAACGATTATTTCGGTGAGTCAGATATGTTTGAATAGATTGCAATAGTTCTGTTGATTCAGTTGTATTATTTAAACATTGTTTCAATTGAATGAATTCATATTGATAATGTTGATCATATTGTTGGATTTTTAACATATATACTTGTAGATAAATATCTAACCAAATCCGTTTTGATTCTTGTAAAGTTTTGATATGTTTTAATTGATATTTAACAATAGAATCATCATCATCGATGATTGGTGAATAGAAGACATTAGAAGTAATAAAATTTTGTAAATGATCAAAATTTTATCTAAAAACTTCAATAGAATATGTTGTTCTAATATAAGTAATTCTTTTCAACAATTCAATTGTTTATCTTGTATATTTATTAATTGATGTATAGTTTTATTCTGAATATGAAAATTTTAGAAAATTCAAAAATAAAATTTATTGAAGTATATAAATCTACCTGATCCTTTGTAACATTATCATTGAATAAAGTATGATGGAGTTGTTGTTCTTGAATACACTCTTTGAATTTAGATAATTGATGATTGATTTTTTGACGAAATTGTTTTTGTTGTGATTCAATATATTTCTTTAAATGTACGTCACATATATCAATAGAAATACTTTCTGGACATGTTGAATTTTGTTCCATTAATATTTTATTACATTGCTCTAATTGATATTGAATATCATGAATATATTTCTCAATAGATTGATAACACAAACGTGAATCTTTCGTTTGAAACTTAGTATAGATTTCATCCTGGATATTCAATAGTGATATGAATTTAATGAATAATATTATAGATTAAAAAGAAGTTTTACTTACTGGCCATGTATATTGTTGTTGTTGTTGTTGTGAGCCTATATTTAAGTAAGATTGCCATAGAAATCGATGTATTTCTAAACAGAATTGTTTATCTAATAATTGAAGACGTTGAAAAATGAATCTTTGTTCGATTTTTTTCTTTAATGGATGTTCCAATTGTAGACGTAGAGCTTGTAAAAGTATTGATGATGTTCGTTTCAGATAAGGTGCACATCGATATATATTATCATTATGCGTAACCACTGATGTAGTTGTAGCAGTAGCTGCTGTTGTTGTTGTTGTGGCATTATTAATCTTTGTTTTGGTCATTTTTTTCGGTGGTGATGTTGTAATACTTAATTGACTTGCTGATCTGACTACTTGATTAATTGTTAAATCTCGTTTACGTTTATGTGATGGAGAAGTTGTAGAAGTATTCGTTACTGTATTGTCGTTTGTAGTTACTAGTTGTGTAGTTGGATTATTATTATCCTTAAATCGTTTCTTCACTCGTTTAGCAATAGTAGCTGGTTTCATACCCTTTGCACGACATTTCTTTCTATAACGTTGTTTTTTTCGATCACCGTGACAACGTTTAATTCGTTTTTGTTTCTTTTTCACTATTGTTTGTTGTTGTTGTATATTATCTGTAGTTGTAATCGATGATAAGGAAGATGTTATAGGTATTTTAGACGAATTATTCATTATTATTAATGTGTTTTCAACGTATCTAAAAACAAAGAGTAAATATTTTAATATATATCTAAAGAAGATAATGAATAAGAATAGAAATAAGAATGAAAAAAAAACAATTTGAAAAAAGTTACAAAACAGCTATTGAATATTAGGTTTCATTTGATGTAATTGAATTTTAAATTTATATAAACATTCGATACGTGCTTTAATATTAGCAGCACGTTGCTCAATTATATTTTTCATCATTGTTGTTAGTCGTAGTTCAGATGGAAGAGTTTTTTCATTATCCCATAGTTGTTTCATTTCGATATTGTATTTTTGTTGACATTGGTCTCGTTGTGTTTCAGCACATTCTAAATAAATATTCATCATCTTATTTCTTGCTTGTTCAGCAGTATCCTTGTATTGTTTGTACAATTGTTGTCGTAGAATAGCATCATTAATATCATTCAGTAATGGAAATTGACCGATAGATTGTTCCTTTTCAAATGGATGAGAAGCAATATAATTTGGAATTTGTTGTTTTAAAAAATTTGCTTCATGTCTTGTCATTTCTTGATTATATTGAAGTTTACAAAGATGTTTTACTGCTTTAATCTGGTATTGTACAATAAGACAAGAAAATTAAATAAAAAAATATATATATATCGATAATACTCTTACTTGATTTTCATTAGGATTTTGTGTAAGAAAAGTACGTTTTAGTAATACATCCGTATAATGATATTGAACTAAAGCAATTTCACGATCAATTTCGATGCGTTTACAAATCAATCCTTGTTGAACAAATTTTTCAATAACATATTCAAGACTACGTGTATAACCAACTAAACGACCGGCTTTCATATTCAGTTCTTTACGATAATGTCCACTTTGATCTTTAAACTCATGTAAACAATGATTAACAAAGGTTAAATATGGATGAATATCATTTTTTTCACTTTGCAATTTACATAATTTCATATAAGATTTTATTTCTGTTGGACAAATTTTCGTATCAATTTTATCATCCATATGACTAATAGATAATGTCGATTGTAAATTACCCGTGCATGATTTTTGATAAATATTCCATAACGATTGAACTAATTCAATTGAAATAATTTTATACATTTGTAAAGCAATCATTCTTGATTCTTCAATATTAATTGTGGATGGTAAAATTGAATGAATTTTTTTCTCGAGAGATTGATTTCCTTTTGAAAGATAGTCAGGATTTATTTTAAAATCAATATCTAATGCTTTTGAGAAAGCCAATTCTGTTGGAGACACAGTAATTTGTCGTGGAATAGTTCTTTTCTTTGGTCGTTTTTTTGAATGAGTAGATATATTAACCTATTTTATTTTAAGAGAAAAAAAAAGATATATTTGATATCCTAGATTGAATTCTATTTACGTGGGAAGGATGTTTATCATTATCACTATCATCATAATCGTCGACAGACATTCTTTCTTGAATTTGTTCATTATTTGCATTCGAATTTCTAGACTGCAATATCCAGTGAAAAGAAAAGAAAAATGAAAATAATTTAATAAATTCTTTTACAGATCTTACTGTATCTTGATCCATCGCACTATTATAATTAATAACACTTTTTTTTGTTGTAATTGTTTGTTGAAGCTGTAATATAGATATAATTACTGAAAAATCGGAAAATATAGCTAATTATATATAACCTGAGGGTGGGTGTGGGTGTGGGTGTGGGTGTGAACAACTACCAAGACCGGTTTCGATTCATTTCAGAATCTCA